AATCTCATAAGCGATTGGCGAAAGAAGCCTTTGTTCGATTAAATCGATAAAAAGCCGAATCGAGCAATGATCAGCCCCTTTTTCTTTTTTTAGCAGTTAACGTTCCGCAATTTAGATCAATCGCCTCTGAGACACTCCGCCGATAGAAAACCATCGCGTTCGACTTGTAATAGAAATTCGAAAGGGTGTTCGCCTGTAAAGAGGAAATGATTTCCATCCGCGTTTATTTGTGCTGTATTAATTTATCATTTTAAAATTTTTTACACGTTTTTGCGAAATTATCAACTCTGTAAATTGTTGAAAATAAAATTGTGATCTGTTACATGAACATTCGCGTAGATTGAATTTTCATTCGAAACGTCCTCCCGCTCAAACTCTCTCTCTCTCTCTCTCTCTCTCTCTCTCTCTCCTCTCCCCTCTCCCCTCTCCCCTCCCTCTCTCTCTCTCTCGAACACTTATTGTAACACAATTTGAAATATCTAAGATAAAGGTAAGATGCGCGCGCGCGCGCGCGCGCGTGTGTGTGTGTGTGTGTGTGTGTGTGTGTGTGTGTATGTGCGTGCGCGCGCGTGAACAAATATAAGAAATAAAGCAAATACCGTCCAATAAAGCCTTCATCGGAGAATGAAAAATGTAACAAAGAAATTATTTTACTGATTTTGTAATATATGTTAATATTTCAACAGTTAAATGATAAGTGTGCGACCTTGGAGTTTATTTTGGCGTGGACGGGCAGGCAGGCAGCGATAATTACAAAATGCAAACAATATTCATTTTTATTATTAAAATATATTTAATTAACAAAAATGAACATGCCTTTTTAACATTTAATATATTTTTTCATTTTTTATACAAGATGTTTGGAAAATAATAATAAAAAATCTTTCGCATAGTAGCAGAATGGATTAAACTGAGAAAAAAGTCCTCTATTATTTTGCAATTTTCGTAATAGTTAACAAGATATTAATTTTAAAAATTACCGAAAATTGGTCTTCAATAATTTTTTACTCAAATACTCAAATACTATTACAAAAAAATTGCAAGAAACGAAAATTATTTTCTTCTCATAAAACTCTACGAATTTATTCAGAATTTTTTATCAACTTTTTATATTATAATAGTATTGCATTTTCTCATTTTTACCAATATGAGAAAATACAGTATTAAAAATTTCTGAAAAAATTCTAAAAAAATTCTTAGAACTCTATGAGAAGAAAATAAATAATTTTTGTCTCTTGCAGTTTTTTTGTAAAGTTGATAGTATCTGAATAAAAAATTATTAAAGACCAACTTTCGGCATTTTTTAGCAATTAATATCTTGTTAACTATTGCAAAAATTGTTAAATGGTAGAAGACTTTTCTTCTCAGTTTGGTCCATTCTATCCCTATGCGAAAGATTTATTATTATTTTCCAAACACCCCGTATACAAGTAAGAAGAAATATACGAATCAATATTTCTTATCACAAATAAAACTTTCTTTCCCTTCAAAATATAATTTCGCTGCATGATGTGTAAAATAATTAAATATTTGCTAACAAATATGCTTATATAAAATATTACAAAATTATAACAACATTAAGAGATAAGGAAAAATAACAAGAAAATATATAAAGATTATGCGTTTCGCAGGTTTCCTCCGTGTCCAGATTCATTCTTGGAGTGCCAACCTTGATTCGTGAACCTTGCAGTCCACTTCATCAGGGCGAGGAACAGATACTATATCGCTTGATGCTGTATCTCTCTATTTTGATCCTGTATCTTTTTTTTCCACTTAGATTACGTTCATATCAGTCCGACTGCCTACTATAAGGACAATAGGAAGTTTTTGCAATACCGTTTATTATCCAGATACGATGAACGCTAAAATCATGTTATCTTCTTCTTAACAACTAATTAAGAAAAGGATAACATGATTTTAGTACCTTATCTGGATCCATGTTATTGTAAAAACTCGCTATTGTTTCTCTGCAAAAACGCGTCCACACTGACCATCCATATCACATATCATTTCTTTGATGTTTCGGTAAAATACTGACTTCAAGGATCATGGTCATATCGTATCTGCGTATCAAAATGATACGCAGATATGATACGACCATGATGCAGACATTATACGGCGTGGCGCCTTTATAATGTCATAAACTAATCACAGAATTATATTAGCATTCCTTTTATACTTTCGACTTTCCCAGAAGATGCATTTCATGTACAGACAGTTCTATATATTTTTGAAAACACTAATTTCAAATTAACTATCAAAATTTAATTCAAAATGGCAAATTCAAGTGACCATAAAAAACTGAATTATCGATATAAAATATAGATGAATTATCGATATAGACTATAGATTAAAGTTCTTTTCTGATTACTATTAACTCTCTTCCAAAATAACCTTTTAAAATTAAAAATATAAAAATATAAGTATTTTAATAAATAATTTCTAGGAAAGTAAGAAATTATATATATATATATATTATATTTCCTTAAAATATTCAATAAAAATCGATTCTTCGTACTTTACCATTAAAAGTTCGGAGCATGTTTTCTTATCCGATTGCGAGTTGCAGTTTTACACAGAATTCTTTTTTTGAATTGAAACTATTCTAAGGGATGCCATAAAAAATATTTGAAAGTCGAAAAATAAAGCTACTTTAATGTACATTTATATTTATGTGTATTTATATATCTTATTATTCACTAATTTATTAAATATTTTTTCACAAGTTATTTCTTATAAAACAATAAGATCCATATTAAAAGCGACATTGTATACATAAGTGTTAATTGTGATGTTTCATAGCTAAAAGGTATAGTTTTCACCATGTTAGATTTTTATGACAATTTTTATTGAACTAACAAACTTGTAAACAAAATAAATTTTTTTGCACATAAAAACACATGTAACTAACATCAAAATATCAAAATATACACATTGAAACACCATAATCAGTCAATGTATGTATGTATGTGTGTATATATATATATATATATATATATATATACAAGTATATCTCGTTAATGTCTCCTCATATTCAATACTAACTATTGCATTGCATTCCATTGTATGTTAATATATGACTATGTTTTTAATCTTTACGAGTGATATTTATATGGATAGGAATAATTTAATATTATAATTAACGTTACAGTTTAAAAATTATAGAATCGTTTCAGAATTAGTAAAATATCTATTTTTTATTTAATGATTCAATTTATACATATTAGGAGTGTGATTAGTTTTAAGAGTTTTGTAAGAGATAACAATAATTCAGTGTTATCGAAGGCATTCCAATCACAGCTATTATTTCTTAATGCTTTAATATTAGTCCATGATATTTAATCGTTTATATACAAATAGTAGACGCAGTAAACATCATGTTTATTTTATATCATTTAAAAAATGGAGCTTCTTAAAAAGTATTTTCGACATGCGTTATTTTTATTTTTCAATCAGAAGAAAACAGCGGTTGAAGGTCATAGAATTCTGATAGAAACTTATGGCAATGTTGTTCCATCAATTAAAACACATATGAATATTGATTCTGTCGATTCAAAAGTAATGATTTCAATTTTAACAACACAAGCTAGAAAATGTAGATTTACAAGCATTATTGGACGAAAATCCAACACAATCAACTTTAGAATTTGCCAGAGAATTAAATGTTGATCGCATAACAGTTCGTATAATAAATCATATAATCATATTATTAAACATTTATGTAATATGTTGTTTAAATAAATCAGTTTAAAAAAAACCTTCAAAATTAAATCATATTCCCAATATTTAAAAAAAGTCCGATTTGTATAACCATGTTTATAAAATAATACTGTTTATTAATTTTAATTTTTTTATAGATATAAGCTCCTCGATCTTTACAATCGTTTTCTTGACTTTATCTTGTAACACAGAACAGAAACACTAGAACTTGCTCTATTTGCAATTATTATGTTATCAAAAATTGAGAATGGTCTTTTTATAATACTTTGATTGTAACTACAATTTGTAACTACGATTTATCAATCATAGTTAATGAAACGATAATTTTTATGAATACTCGTAGTAATGTGTATACATATAAAGTCGAGCTATATATCCCAATGTATAATCAATTATGCACATAACTAATTTTCTATTTTGTTCTCAAAATTATTTATTAAGTTTAAGATTAAAAATAAAAAATATATATAAAATAGAAAAATTTTTATAAAAAAATGTATAATTATATAATATAAAGAGAAATAAACATAAAATTAATTTCATTAATATTCGACAATCATTTCGGGTAATTGAATGAGAATTATTTTGAATAAAACGAATTCGATTATAATTAATAGAAATTAACCAATAACCATCAACATACGACAAAGATAAAGCATCATGAAGAAAAAAGAGATGAAGATTTTGAGACGTAATTGAAATTTTTCGAACAGAGTAATATTTAAAATTAAATGATCGAATAATTTATCGTTCAAATTTTGAACATACATTATATGAAACTTTCAAATCTGTCCTAAACTCTTTATCTTTCCAAATTACAAAAATATTAAAAATGTTTTAGCAGCTTATAGCTGTATTTCTTTTTTTAATAGTATGATCTAAAAGTGATGTATCTAAATATTATTTATAATACTAAACTTAACTATAATACATATAAAATCATCACGTGCACAGTAACATTGCAGAAAATTATGTCTTAATGTTCCAAAAACGTGCAAAAGTAATACGCTGTATAAAAATATGTAAAAATGATAATTAAGTAATCTAGAAGCGCAGCCATACATACACAGTTTATACGCATACATTATAATCAATGATAAAAAAAAGTTTTGTTCCGTTTTAATTTAATTCTGGTAAACTGTGCATTGTACTTGTGTACTGGTCTAGTCGTCTCTCATTGTCACACGTCGGAGAAACGCGCGTGCTCCGCTATCGACCAGAAACTCTAGTCCTCCTCCACGTCTCATCACTTCTCGCCCAGTCTCGATCCGCCGCGGCGTCCGAACATACTCTCGGCTGAATCCCAGCTCGCCGGGGCGCGGCAACGCCTGCCGAAGCATCCCCGAGAATCGGCCGTTGAACGTGAATACTTCTATCTTGCGTGCTCCGATGACAGACCGAATATCGGCGCGAAGATGACGAGGGAGAGACTGACGGATCGGTAGCTAAACATTAATCTATATATTTTCCCAAAAAGGATGAGAAGCTCACATCCTGCCGATGTTTGTGTTTGTATCCGCGTCTCTTCAAGAGATCGGATTCAGCATGGAAATAAGTGTGGCTAAGGTGTTATTGTCGACGGTATTAATTAAGGAAACAATTAGATATTAGAAGAGTAACGACGGTGCCTCGCCGTTGCAACTTAAAATTGTTCTATAAGAAGATTTTGAAGATTCTATCCGAGTGTTGTTACTGAAAAAAAATATTACTCAATATGCATCACGTTCAAGCATTTCGCGCGTTATATCTGCGAAATCATAATAGATATCTAAAAACAGCTGTTTGAGAATTTCATCTCTTCAAGTTCACGTGCGCAAGGACACAGGATTCGATCGAATGTACGTACATCTTATCTTAGGTTTCGCCTGTTGACAATCTTGATATTACTTGTAATTTATATACTATAAGAGATTAATAAATAAAATTAGTCTCTAAAATTTGCATTATTTCTATGAGTTTCTTTTGTTTTCAAATAAGAAAAATTTTTTTTAATATTTATAGATAACTAAAATGAAGAATCTCTAGAATCTTTACAAAGATGATTTTTCTACATTTATTTGCTCAAAATTTAAGATTGAATTTATTATTATAATTAAAGAAAATAAAACTCTGAAAAATCAAATATTTATTTTATATCTAATAAAATATTTAAAATCACAAATAAAATTATATTTAATTATCAGGGATGCACCGAATCTCGGATATCTAGCGTCAAATTCTTTTCGGATATCCGATATCTGATCGGATATCCGGTAGAGCAATTACCCGATCGGATACCAGAAATTTCCCCGGATATCCTGTCGAATATCTGGAAAAAGGCTTCTAAGAAAAAAGAAAAAAATAGCGATAATAATTTTCTTTATCTTCCCAAATGTGATAAAAAAAAAGGAAAGAGAGAGAGAAAGAAATGATTTGTACAAAAAATTCAACTGAAAAGAATAGAATTTTTTTTTAATAATATACAAACTATCAATATAAAATTTTAACCAAATATATATTACCGGATACTAATAATATTCGGCCAGAAAGTAAAAAAATGCCGAATAATGCCGGATATTCAATTAAGAAAAATAAATTTATTTTTGGTTAAAATTAAAAGAGGATCCTAGTACTTAATTATTGTATAATTTAGAGTGAAGTTATATACATATCCAAAATTATATTTTTTATTATTTATGAATATTTTTATGCAAATATTTCAATACAGAATTCATTTTAACCTTAATAAAACTTTGTTTTAAAATGCAATTATTTTCACTTTTTAATTTTCATTTATATTTATATTCATTATATTTCATTTATATTTATATTATTATTTTAATCTTAATTTTTATAATTAATTTAAAATTAAAATCAAATATTAAAAAATTAAAATAACAATAAATTAAATATTAAAAAATAAGAAGTCTAATAATTAGTTTAATTAAAATCTTCTTTTCAGTGTAAAATCAAATAAAAATATCAGATTATATTATTTGTTTTTATACTATGATTTTTGTTAAAAAAACATTTATTCTCAATTGATTAAAAAATTCATAAAAATATTTTAATTATTTCATAGAGCATTATTTATATATCGAGGAGCATTAATATTCATACAACAATATTAATCCTCATACACACCTTATTGACGTCATTGTATAAACATCACGATATTTATACAATATCGTCTATATATCATGACGTTTATGTGATATTTCTTGAACGTGCTATATGGATAATTTTATCTTTTTTTGTTATAGAAGAGAAAAAGTGGGAACATTCACGTATATAACTGTACTAATGATGTTCTAGGAATACAATCGATGGATGCACCTGCTCTGGAAATGTATACGTCATTAAATATAATATACAACCAAGTAGATCTAGGAAAAACAAAATGAGCAGAAGTTTGAATGGGATGGAAAAGAGACAGAAAAGATAATGCTGAGGCTCTACCCATTAGATTATCGCGTAGATACGCCACAATTATCATTGAGAAGAGCTTAAGGCGTTACAATTATTAATATAAATACGGAAAAGGTTCCGTTCCACTTGCTTGATAGAACTCGAACAGGCCTCATCCAGATTATGTGTGACCAGTCATTTTTTTATTATACATATCGATAAAAAAGTACGACAATATGTATATTCAACATCTGTAGAAAAAACAATTCACAGGCTGGAGATAAAAAAAATAGATATAAAAATTCAAGATCGAAGAAGTTAAAAGAAAGTCAAGGTCAAACAGTGTGTCAAGCAAACATAAATTGGTTCGAATAATAAACAAGAGTCAACGTCTCGGAAGAGTAGCTTTGTTGCCTGTGTAAAAGTTATCGTTTAACATACAATGTGGAAAAATAGGAACAAATCGTGACGATTAGACCGAAATGCCCCTTAAATGAGTATAACGATATATTATTTATGTATGCCGACAAAATAGCAGCGATGTTCCGTAATCAACGTTTTAGAAGTCTTCCAAGTCCGTGCAACGGCCACTAAATTAACCACAAAATGTCAACGAGAGGATAGATCGCATAGTGAAATAATCGCGCTCAAAATCTCATAATTCTTCATCTCTCGTAATCGTCATTACGAAAATTCATGGACCACACGAACATATCGCGGCTTCATAAAAGAAATGTGAGTCTAATGAGAAGAAGAGAAACAACGAAAGGAGAGAAACTTTTTGCCAATTCTCAGCTCATTTCGATAGACAATCATTGAGAGAGTAGAACCTGATTCGATGCAGAATACATATGTTTGCGTATTTTGAATTTTTTGGTGTCGCTATGCTACGGGCTAATTGCTATAAATATTGCGAAACATTCGATGTATTTATTCATGCGCTTTTCATTGCGAATTAAGATGTTCATGAGCTTTGCAATGAGTAATCGTGTCTATGGGAAGATACGATATACATAATAAAAAAAAGAAACTCCGTGGATCATTGCAAAGAATGATGGAAAATAGAAGGACCAAGACTGCTCAATTTAATTCTATCTTCTAAGCTGCCGTTCTTTGTGAAAAAATTTCGACGCAATAATGGCAAACAAAGATGTAGCATAATAATATAATTAATAATATACTTCTTTTATATTATACACGAGAAATACGGAGTCTAAATTTTAATCCGTGAGTTCTAATTTAGGCCAATTAACGAGACAGATGTCTAAACCACAAGTGATATCGATATTCTGTTATCGTTATCATAGGAACAAAGGCATTGAACATAATGTATATACTGATTATACAATTCTATCTTATACATATGAAAGTGTTTGATGTATGCAACTGCTCTGTTATGCGTGATCATCACTCTCTTGAAGAGGTAAAATAAATATTCCGTTTTTTTTCCTCCCAAAAAACATATTCTTTTGACATTCAAAAACATATTCTGTACACAATTTTTTGTTTTCATCGCGAGCAATGGAGCAATAATCTTGTTAACTATATTCTTCTTCATGTATGTCAATCGAATAAATTAAGAGAGCTATATTATTCAAAACATTTTTTTTAAACACCATAAATCAAAATCATCAATTAAAGTATTAATTAATTTTTGCAAAAAAACAAAGAAATATGATAATAAATTTTTTTGTTAATCAATTTTTTATCAGTCAATTTCATCATTTTAAGATTATTTATTAATTTAATCTTTTGATGCACATTATCAAGTTACATGACTTTAAGATTTGTATTCATAGTACGATTCAATCTGAAATCCGATTTAAGCTAAGTTTAAATTAATCTTTTATATGAAAAACGCGATTCTCAAACAACAATTTAATAAATCCATTGATTCAAATCTAGCTTACTAGCTTGTCTGATCAAATCGTGAATCGATCTATAACTATGAATAGAATCATCTTCAGTGTAGTAAAAACTATTTCTTTTTTTTCTCTGTGATATAGGCACTGTTTCGCGGCAGCAAAAAAGCTGTTGACGATGAGTGTGAATCTACCACGGCATTAATCAAAACTAAAATACAAAAGGGAGGTCTGCGACTACGAAGATGGCTAATTGCGCTACTACTATTTCTGTTAACATCGCTTTTTATTATCAACAGCTACAATACCGGTCAATTTCGGATCACCCGATTCGGAGAAATGGCCAAATCAACTGTTCAAGATGTAATAACCCGTGAGTATTAAATCATTATTATTTAATTTTTTCATGTGAGGATAATTCAAATATTTATTGTTAGAACTTTATGTTGCGAAAATATATCAATATATATATATATATATATAATAAAATTTTAATATTAAAAAAAAAATACTTTATTTTTCTCTTAACATTAACATTAAAAAACTGATTTATTAACTCGTTTAGTATGTGTTTATAAATAAAAAATAAATACTAAATTTCATTACAGTGTACTTTTACTAAAAAGCTTTTGCAATCGTTAAACAAATTAACATATTATAATTATAAAATTATTTGGAAAATAAAACACTATTCAAAGCCTACACGTGTAAAATTTTCTCACGATCTTGATGATCGTATAAAGATGCTTTAAAAAAATGTTTTTTAATTTAGCATACATGAGATCATTTGCGCATAGATACGATATTATTGCCGTAAGATTTTAAATCAGTATAAACTTTTAGCAATGCTAATGAAATGCCTAGAATTAATATGAATAATGTTTAAACAAAAATAAAAATACAAAAGTATATTCTTTGATTAATTTCAAAAATCAAATAGTACAGAACTCTTAATTTTTTAAAAGACAATACAAAAAAATGTAGGGCATATAAGAGTCAACGTAATTAATTATAAATGCAAGAACTAAAACATAATACATAAAATGTATAAAAAAAGTTCTATAAAGAATACAGTGTAAAATACATTACATAACACAGAATTATATGTACGCCTTACAATTAGTAACTAAACTTTAAAATTACGTTAAAAATGTAATAGCTATTTAAAATTAAACGAAGAAATAAAGTTTTATTTATTTTTATCTTTAAAGTTTAATTTTTATTTTCAATCGTTTATAATTAAAAAAATATTAGTGTATTGCATATTTTTAAGAAAAAAATAATTTTTTGAAATTAATACAAAGTATAGGACATATAAGACTCAATGTAATTAATTATAAATGCAACTATAATATGATATATAAAATGTATTAAAAAAATTCTATAAATATCATATTGTAAAACACATTGTTTTGGCTCTTGGATTGAGCCATCCTCAGATAAAACAAAATTCACAATCTTAAAATTCATTTCCATCGTCATAGATAAATCGTGATGAAAGTTATTCAATTTATATAGCGATATTGATGAATGCTTTAAGGAGACCATGAATTACTTGCAAGCGATTTATTAACCGATTGTTCGGAATTTCATGATGTTCTAATTAAAGAAACATATTTGTTAACCAATAAAAATAAAAATAAAAAATTTAATTAAAATCTGAATAAAATAAAAATCTGTTAAAATGTTATCTACTTTTAAAATTCTATAAAAACCAAGCAAAAACTTTATCTCAATAAAACACTTACCAACGTGATCGCAGTTATCATTTCTTAAGAAAAAATACTTCATCAAATTCATCATAAAATCACGTAAGATATAAGAGGTAGTATATCAGGCAAATAGTTTTAATACGTTATACATAGTCACTATATTAAAACTTAATAATCAGTACAGATCGAATGTTTCAGACAGAATTTTTTGAAAGATATGTTAACGGTAAAGCTGACTGTCACTATCTGAGCGGTAATAGTTTCTGAATACACAGAAGAAATCTCTGTTTTATCTCATTATCTAAGAAAAAAGTAGATTAAAATAAAAAATAAAATAGTTACCAGACAAACAATTAAGACTAAATAATAATATCATTAAACCTAAATATATATATAAATATATATTTTAATAAAATATATTAAAAATGGTTGTAACTCAGAAGAGATAACATCTCCTGCATTTGATTGTGAAAAAGAACAGCAACAATCCGGGCAATAATATATCTACTTCTTTGTCGTGTTGCAATCCTCAGAACAGTTTCTCTTTTATACTATCGTCTCATCCTGTCGTGACAATAAATCAAGCTCCTTCATCCACAAAATTAATATATCCGAATTCCTTCTTAAATAGTGAAATTTCACCTTCTTTTTCCTCTGTCAGAAACAAATGATTTGTGAATCTCTCTTCTACACTACGAACGATATGCAGAGTATTTTACAACTTGATGAGAACTTTGCGTTACCAAATAGGAATAAAAAGAACATCATTTTTGATTGCATTATATCGAAAATTATCAATTGATAAAAGAATTGATATCACAAATCATTCCATACTCATACTTAATAACATAGTTTCCTCTCCTCGTTTCACAACACCCATTGACACAAAATTATTAGAATTAGAAATTATTACAAAAGATTTTTTTAAATTAAATTCTGACACAATATTTACATATGCTGACAAGAGTAATGTTACTGCCTTTGAAAAAAATTTTTACATTAATAAAATAAATAAAATGCTTGGTGACACAGATACGTATGAAATAATAAAAAGAAATCCTTATAAAAAAATGATAACATCTCTCAGAATTATGCTTACAAGATGGAGGACTTGCAAAGATATTAATGAAGTTCAATATAAACGTTTATATTACAGTGATAGGTTGCTTCTAAAGTGCAGTGCTGAAGATTCACAAATCGAATTGTCCATTCAGGATCATAGTGTCTTCAATAGAGAGTCCATTATATTCCTTAGCCTTATTTTTACACATCATGAAACTGTTCCTAAAGCTGAGAGTTATATAAAAAATAGTTTTCAACTTATTAAAGATCTAAAAGGGATGAGAATTGATTACAATAATTACAAATTAATCTCATTAGATGTAATTTCTCTTTTTACTAACATTCCATTAGACATGGTTATCGATTGTGTAAATGACAATTGGAATTTCATCTTAAAAAAATGTGACTTATCCAAGACGGAGTTCCTGATGACGGTTCGGTTTATTCTAGATTTAACATATTTTACATTTAATAATACCATTTATAAACAGAATTTCGGCACACCCATGGGTTCTCCGTTGTCATCCATCATTGTAGACTTAGTAATGCAAAAATTAAAGACAATATCTTTGTTACAATAATCAGTTGCTTTTTTATTATTATGTTGATGATCTAGCTGTTCCTTCCTTTGAAATCAATTCGTTTTTCGAAAATTCGTTTTAATTCGTTTTACTCACGTCTACAATTCAGAAGTAGACTTTGATTTACTAAATTGCAATGATGTTACGATCATGGTCGAAGAAAAACATTTAACCTTCGATTGGTATCAAAAACTGACTTTTTGGAGGAGATTTTTAAATTAATTTTCAAATTATTTTATCTCCCAAAAGAAAGTTATAATTTTTTATTTGGTAGACAGGACTTTATTGTTATCTGACTCTAAATTCTATCATAAGAATCTTACATTAATTGTTAATATATTAATAGAGAACGATTATTCTCTTAAATTCATTTTTTTGACACAATCAATGTTAGAGTCAAAAGCATTCAGCGTGGAGGAGCAGTAATACATGATTGCACGAACAATAGTGATGAGACAAGAGATGTTACATCATGATTTAGGTACTGTGCCCTTTGTGTTCCATTGATAACAAAGAAATTCAAAAAATTTAATAGAGAGGATATCAAAGTTTCCTATTATAGCTCTAATAAATTGAGTAAGTTCATTGAGGTACAAAAGGATTCTCGTTCAAATTGGTCAAAGAACAAGATTGTGATTTTCTACAAGGATTGTGATGCATCATATATATATATATATATATATATATATACATACAGACAAACGGATAGACAATTTAAAACCAGAATTACAGAACCATAATCATATTCCGTAATCATATTCGTTGGAATACATCTACCCAGTCTGTAATCATCGAACATAGACTGCAGATGACATATGATTTTGATTGGAATAACATCCAGATACTAAATGAAGAACCATTATAATAAATTAATTAATTTCTGAAATGTTAAATATTGAAAAGCAAAAAAAGTGTTAATCTCACAGTCTTAATCTCCAAACAGACACGAAGGGCCTTCACAAAGCAATATATCGATTATAAAATTTGACGTCCTTATCTAGCGTTTTATCTATTAATTGCGGCTCAGATAGTGCAGTCAGCCTTATCGTTAACATATCTTTCAAAAAATTCTGTCTGGAAGATTCGATTTGTACTGATTATCAAGTTTTAATATAGTGACTGTGTTATTACTATCTAATATACTATCTCTTATATTTTACATGATTTTACGATATGATAAATTTAACGAAGTATTTCTTCTTAAGAAATGATAACCGCGATCACGTTGGTGAGTGTTTTATCGAGATAATGGTTTTTACAGATTTTTAAAAGTAGATAACATTTTAACAGATTTTTATTTTATTCAGATTTTAATTTTATTTTTTATTTTTATTATTTATTAACAAATATGTTTCTTTATTTAGAATATCATGAAATTCCGAACAATCGATCAGTAAATCGCTTGCAAATAATTCATGGTCTCCGTAAAGCATTCATCAATATCGCTATATAAATTAGATAACTTTCATCACGATTTATCTATGACGATGGAAATGAATTTTAAGGTTGTGAATTTTGTTTTATCTGAGGATGGTTCAATCCAAGAGCCGAAACATGTATAATGTATTATTCATAGAATTTTTGTTATACATTTTATATCTCATATTATAATTCTTGCATTTATAATTAATTACATTGACTTTTACATGCTCTATATTTCTTTGTATTAATTTCAAAAAGTTATTTTTTTCTTAAAAATATTCAATATACTAATATTTTTTTAATTATAAACGATTGAAAATAAAAATTAAACTTTAAAGATAAAAATAAATAAAACTTTATTTCTTCGTTTAATTTTAAATAGCTGTTACATTTTAACGTAATTTTAAAGTTTAGTTACTAATTGTAAGACGTATACATAATTCTTTGATGATAATTAATAAATCGTGAAAAAATATATCTCTCAATATGATACAAAAAATAATTTTTTATACTCAACATACAAATCTTTCATGATAAATTATTATAACATCAGAAATTTTGTTTAAATTCAATTTAATCTTGTTTATATTCATTCTCGTATATTTTCGTACTTATTTTAATTATTATTTTGTACCTATTTTAATTGTTAATTCGTAAATTTTACAGAGGAATACGTATCGACAACATCAAATGTATACATGCCAATAGGCAACGGTGGCTTTCTAGTTCGCAACAAAGGATGTCGGTTACCAGCAATGGATCCTTTAGATCTTGCAGTTCGACGTTTCATAACAAAAGATATGTTCGAATGCGAGTACGGAAATTTTCCACCATTAATTGAATCAAACAATACCGCGCTATTCGTTAATCCGCTAACGTGGAACGAATTTCATAACAGTCCGGGCGGTATAAGCTGCTGCTGGCGACCATTTTGGCGAACGAAAGATAATGACAATGCTGTCACGTTAGTATTATAAAAAATTTTTAATTAAAATTATATAAGTATATATGTTATCACGGTTGGGTAAGTTAATATTTTTTTTGCTAACTAAAAATTGAAAGTTGAATGAACAAAATACTAACTCAGTTAAAATTACGTTAAAAATTAATGTTATTGAATTAACTAAAAATTAAATAAAGAGACTAAGACTTAAATAAAAAGTTAATTTTGAAAAAACATTATTTTTATTAAATGACAATATCTTAATTTTTATTTAAATCAGATTACTTTAAATAACAAAACAATTACAATAAACATTCATCATAAATTTAATATTTTAATAGTTATAAATTATGTGAAATAACAAAAATATCTCTTGTAAAAAACTCTCTAATAAAAAACTGATTTTTTTATATTTCTATATAGTTATTTCATATTTTGATATATTTACTTGCATATAAAAGAAAAATAAAATATAATTTTTAAAAATGTAAGTACTCTTGTACTTCTCTTTGTGCTAGCCATGCCTGCACATTCTTTAAAAACTATATGTAAATAAAAAATTTATTCTTTTTTTATTATTTAGACATAAAACAAGGACATATAAATACATAACGCAAATGCACTGATATATTTATTGCATTGATTATTTCCTAAATAAATCCAAACCACATTCATTTTTGGACACTATGAGCATTGCACCCATTACACAATTATTCAACTTTTTCTAAATTAATTCTCTAATGTTTTAACAGAAAATTTTATAGAAAATAATATTGGCGCGCATTTAAAGATTAAAAAAATTAAAACTTAAAAAAAAACTTAATAAATTAAAACTAAAGATAATTAAATTAAGGTAACTACGTTAAGTTAATAAAGTTTAAAGGTAATAAATTAAATTAAGGTAATTAAATTAAATTGAAAATTAATTTATTTAAAATTAACTAAATTAAGTTAAAAGTTATTAACTTTTTAACTTTTTATTTAACTTTTAATTTATTGATTAGTTACTACCCAACCCTATATGTTATGTACACATAAATTATATATTAAAAGTGTATCAGACAACCAGTATTTCTCTTTTTCTCTCAGAAATGAATAGTGGAAGAAATTGAAGAAAAATTTTCATTATTAAAAATTAAGATAATCTAGATTAAATCTAAAATTTTTAATAGGAATATAAGTCGAGTAGAATATCATTGGATAGGTTTTTTAAAAATAAACAACTTTTGCAAAAATAAAAAAATGTCACAGAATAGTCCATTTGTCAAAATTAAAAAACATTAAAATTATCGGAAATTTAAATTAAAATTTTTAACATCAAATGCTATGTGATAAATCATTCGAATGATAATGTTTGTGCTTTTAGGAAATACGAAATGAGAAAAATTGTAGCAAATTCTTAAATTTTTAATTGAAATATAGGGTAGAATATCATTGAATAAGCCCATTGAAAAAAAATATTTCTAAATAAAAAAGATTTTAATATCTTTTACTATTAACAAAAAATGACATAATTTCTTATTAATGCGTTTTCTCAATTAAAATAAAAATAAAGGAAAAACTGTATTCAAATTTTGTTGCTCATACGATTTGATCTTAAAGATTTTAATTTAATAAATCCCCGATAACTTTTAACGTCTAGACAATAATGATTCATATAATCTGTGATTATAACAATTTTTTCTCGTAAACCGTGACATATTAAAAAAAGACAAAAGTTTAAACAAATAAAAACAAAAAGTTTAAACAAATGTATATCTCGCAATTTTTAACAAGAGGTTGACTTCTATTAGCTTTTTGTATAAAACTTTTTATTGTTTGTTGTATTAATAGATATATATAAGGAGTCTATAATTCATTAGTTTTAATTTAATTTCATTATTATTAAACAAAAGTTTATTTTTAAAAGATCTGTTTAATGATAACTACTCGACTTATATATGTTTCCATTAAAAATTTCAAATTTGACTTAGGTTTATCATATTTCCGGAAAACCCAAAATTTAATCAAGTCAGAGAAGCTCTGATAATGAAAATGTTTTTTCTCCATCTTCCAATTACATTTCCGAGAAAAAAGATAATACAGGTGATCTGATATATCTTGTATATTATCTATAGGATAGATTTGTTATACAGATGACTTTAAATTGGATAATAAAATTTTACAGATATGACACACAGTGCTATCCTTTCCAAGATTCTTGCACAGTGAATGCTGAATTCGTAAAAGTTGAATGTTATCAAAACAACGAAATGGTATACAAAGATTACTACGCTTTCCTACCTCGTAAGCCTTCGATAGAGGAAAGATGCAGGCAAACACTGAGAATGGATACGCTGATCGAAGATCGTCTCAGCGTTCTCATTGTCGGGCTCGACTCGGTTTCCAGGATGAATTTTCACAGAATGATGCCGAAGACTGTAAAATCACTTCAGTCTCTCGGTGCCGTAGAAATGTTGGGCTATACCAAGGTCGCTGATAACACATACCCAAATCTCGTCCCGGTATTAAGTGGTCTGAATCAGGAGGAATTGCGGGATCTGTGTTGGCAAATGCCTAACAAAACTTTCGACGAATGCCCGCTTTTGTGGAAGAACTTCAGTGATGCTGGTTACCGCACAGTATTCGGCGAGGATGCTTGTAGCATGAGCACATTCAATTACCTGAAACCAGGATTCCGCGAACAACCGACAGATTACTATCTGAGACCATATTGCATCGGTGCTGAGAATGACATTGGTAACACCCATAAACTGAACGCCAATCTCTGCCTCGGTACCAGGAAGACATTTGAATGCATGCTGGATTACACGCGCAAAACGGCAATCGAGTTCTCCTCGGAACTTTACTTCGCCTTCATTTGGCAGGCAAGTCTCACCCACGACTATTTCACGTATCCTCAGTTGGGTGACAACTCCTATCACGAGTTCGTCGAGTATGCGTCACGGGAGGGTCTGCTGAATCGCACAGTCTTGATCATGATGAGCGATCACGGTATGAGATGGGGCGATTTCCGACAAACGTATCAGGGAAAGATTGAGGATAGTCTACCTTTCGTCTTTATCGTGCTACCGAGATGGTGGCGCGAAAAGTTTCCTCTGGCTTGGGGGAATTTGCGAAGGAACAGCCACAGTCTCACGACGCCCTTCGATCTTCATGAAACGTTAATGGATTTGCTGAATCCGCAACTTTTGCGAGAATCATTTCTTAAGAAGCGCATTAAAATTCAAGCCGCCTCGCCTGGCATCCCGCGTGGCATCAGTTGGTTCCTACCAGTACCAGACATTCGTACCTGCGACATGGCGCACATTGCGAATCATTGGTGCATGTGCCATACCAGTAATACGGTCGCGTGGAACGACACTGGCTTGCATGATAGCGTATCATTTCTCGTCAGAGAACTGAATGACATGTTAAGCAGATATCCAATGTGCGCAACCTTGAATCTAAAAATGATCAAAGATGCGAAGATGTGGCAGGATAAGACGGAAGGGGCGACGCTGGTGGATTATACAATGATCATACAAACTACCCCAGGTGATGCGATCTTTGAGGGTACAATACGCTATAAAGCAGACGATAACAGCCGCAAATTAGCTGGGTCGGTCAGTAGGCTGAATGCTTATGGCACTCAGAGTGCCTGTGTGGATGAATTCAACATGCGTTTGTATTGTTACTGTCTTTAGCACAACATATTCAACAGATTGCTCGAGTGCTGAAGCTTTTATATCTAATAATTTAAATCGGAGCTTGGTGCAACTCATTCAGACAATATGTGTGTTTAGTCTTCCGTTAGCCAAATTGGACTTTGAAGGAATAATAGATTGTTTTTATTATGATAGATATACTTTTAAATTTGTGAAAAATAAATATTGCGAATTTTAGATCAATTTATAAATATATAAAAAATAAGAAAAATATCCGACTTCTATGTTAGTAAAAACTTGTTAAAACTGTCGAATATGCAAAAATGTTTTCAAATTTTTACACAATTCGAAACAATACAAAAATTTGCACAGAAATTAAAAACAAAGTTGCTAATGGAAAGTGCAAAATTCATATATATGGCTAATGGAAGATAAAACGTCTTCAAAGTGTCTTTGAAAGTTGTCTTCTAGACACGTGTTTTGTCTGAAAAGTGATCCCTCTCCTCAGACTTAGAAATCGGTTCGATTAGATTTATGGGTTCGAAAGAAACTGTCAAGTATTTTGACAAACTCCATATTCAATTTCGTAGAATATTGCTTCTATCTTGTTACTTCTACCTTATTCCGGATGGAACGAACAATATTTTATGTACAGGATGGTCTCGAATATTTTGACCAGACTTCGAGATTTTATAGGAAATTTAATTCTGAACAAAAAGTATCCGAAAAATATATTTCGAAGTCTAGCCAAAACATTCGGGGCCATCCTGTATATACAGTCATAATAAAATAAAACGGCTTGATGAGTGACATCGAGTAACAAATTCATATTCGCACAAGTTCATATTCTCAAGAATATCATGTTTATCGTATATCGTGAATATAATTACATAACTTTATATTTATTTATATATATATATATATATTCTTCCATATAGCTCCTCGATTAATTTAATCAGGCAATATAGATATTTACGAGCATTAAGAGGCAGTCTATCTTGCGCTCGAGATTTTTAAGATTTTTTAAAGAAATAATTATAAATGCTATCACGCGGTTCCTAGCTTTATACATATTTGTATATATTTATTGATGTTTTGAGAATATAACTGAATTTTTATGAGTCATAAAAATAGTCATTTTTGTTGTTATACAATATTGACGCATTAAAAAAAATATCTTGTCTTCCTGGCGATAGTGATAACGCCGTTATAATTATTTTAAAAAATTTAAGCAATATTAAGTATCTCAATTTTCATTAGTTTATATATGGAATAAAAATAAACTGTAGGATCATCGAGAAAGCTCATATTTTTAAAATAATGGGGATGAAAGTTAAAGAAAAAACTTTAAAATTTAATCATCTAAGCAATCTGCGACTTTAGTAAAGTTTTATCCTAAAAATAAATATTTTAGAGCGATTTATGAACAATGCTAACATTATATTCCGAATAATGAAATAATAATAAGATGGTAAGTCGATATACTTGAAGCAGAAAAGAGGAAGCAAATGTTTACTTGAGCTCTTTTCGAAAATATCCGTTCCTATAAGATAATAATTAATTTTTAAATTAAAAGATATTGAATTTTAATGTATTGTATATATATCTGTAAGTGATTTTTTTAATACACATTTGACCATTTTTAATAAAAATTTCTTTTTTAAAAACAGAAACAAAGTAAAAGAACGATTCTATAAATGATAGAACATTTCACATTTTCATTATATTCCATTCTATTATCAAAGAAAATTTATAATAATGTGCCTAACTGTTTCCTAATACTTAGTTTGCAAAAAATATATTTGTATTATTAAGAAACCTTCAGTAGAACTCGCAGAATGTTTCGTAATAAAACTTATAAAAAATAAAATTATAAAATTTTATCTGCGCGTTGATCTATATTTTCACTAATTCTTCAAATTTTAATTTAAAACTTTAGGAGTATATTTTTAGAATTTTAAAATTATATAAGAAAATTTATATAATATTTTTAGAACTTTAAGATTATATAAGAAAAGATTGGCTATTTTATCTTCCAAGATAGACTACTTTCTTGATGTAGAACTGTATAAACGCTCGCTTTGTATCTCTTTCTTCGTTCACTTGCTTGTTTACTCATGTGACAACATATCGAGTAAAACAGCTTTGTACTTGATAAGAAAATATATTTCATCCACTCTAATTTATATCAAAATGACCTATACTTGTCATGCGAACTGTCTCGTCAGTTTTTAAGGCTAAACCAACTTTTAATATCTGTAAACTTGATATGTAATTACATATTACGGCGATCAGTGACCAATCCGCCAATTCTCTCTCTCTATACATATATATATAAATAAAAAAAGATATTTTATTATTTTTTATGAGTGTATTTCATCAAACCATTTTTTCACGATCGCAACTAAATAAAATTAATTATTAGATCATATGTAATACTCATTTAATCATTACAATTATTTTTAACATGTTTCTGTAAACTTTATATCGGAAAATGAACAAAAAATAGCCTACTCTCTGACAATACATTTCATAAAACATTAGAACACATTCTATAACTTATGTATTTATTTCTGATTTTTATTTTTTTGTTTGGGGAAAAATAATCACATCTTTCTTTGTAATGATTTTGTAATAGATTATAGTTATACTATAATAAATTACATATAGAAGATATTGCCACTTAAAATACACAGATATATTTGAATTAAAAAATTGGCTACAAATGTATGTTAATCTTATTATGGTATTATACTCATTATATATTCACTGATGTTTATGTTCAAAACTTCTTTGCAGTTGCAAAAAAATTTCACCTTGTGTTTATGCCAGTATACTTGCTAAGTTTACATTATTAATAATAATATAAATGGCCAATCATTAATAATTTATTAATTTATATGTGGTCTTTTTTTATTTCATATTAAATGCAAAATCTATCCACACACATATCAATCTCTCCTATATTATTCATATAATTTAATCAATATAACTTAAATTACAAAATAAATTGTTTAGTTATTTCTGATGTCGGCAAATAATTGGCAACAATCAAACATTAATTTAAATAATTGGCAATAAGAACTAGTTTAACCAGTCTTTTGCTAGTCTAAATAAATTATATTTGCTATTGATTTTGTGTAGAAAATTATATATGTACTCAAATTTATATATCCAGTATAATCACTGGATTACCAACTCTTTTGGTATTCTTTAGTACGAAAGCAAGAATATCGCTCTTTACAGACATACTATATCAAGACATACATTCCAACCAAAGCACTCACTTTGCACTCACTTTGTACATATACTGCACTTAAATATTCAATTGCCATGTATACCGTTGTATATTCGATTTACAGAACTTTGTTGCAATAATTTTCTTATATCTGAAATATAATAAAACCATTTTTTTAATAATATGTAATAATATGTAATAATATAATGCATAAAATTTCACGCACTAATACAGAACATTTTGGTTTACCTTCTTTTTGTTCATCTGTAAAATCATTATCGGGGAATGCAATATCAAACGTAACATATAAAGCACCATGAAGATTGTTATTATCATAATTAGGCATTCCTTCGCCCTTTTTCCGAATTCGAGCACCATGTTTAGTAATTTTATCCCTTTGGATAGTGACTATATGACCATCTAAATGTTTTATATCTACTGTGAAACCTAATAGGGCATCTTGCAAAGATATTGTAACATTTGTATATAAATCGTCACCTTTTCTTTCGAAAACAGGATGAGGTATAGTTTGTATCCTATAACAGACAATTGTATTGCAAATATATATAATTGTATTGACTTAGGGTGCTATTTCATTTGTACGCTTTTGTCATACAACAAATATGTGCAGGACAGAGGTCCTCAGATTTCTCTATCTGATAGTCAATCAATAGGCTTGAAAATTTTATCATATGACAAAAACGTACAAATTAAATAGCGGTCTTATACAGGATAGGCTAAAACATAGACCGAGAAAAAAGTATTCTCTGAAGTGATTTTACATCTAAAAATTAAAATAATACATTAAATTTTTCTTCCAAGTTACTTAAAACACAAATTAAACAAAAATTATTTTAAAAATCAACTGAACATATGTATATTCGATTAAAATTTAATTGTATTTGATAAAAATTTGACCTTTAAAATCAATAACATAAAACGCGCGCGTGTGTATATATGTGTGTATATATACATTCAGAATATTTACTCACTTTATTATAAGATCTCCTGGTTCTCCATCAATATGTGGTTCTCCTTCTGCAGTAAATTTAGTTTCTTGATTATCTACCATTCCTGGTTCAACTTCTACTTCCAATATACGTTCCTCATTAACCAATTTTACATTTGGACATTCTGAACACACAGACTGTTGCATCATTTGGAATCTACCATTTCCTAAATTGCGAGTAACTAATTCCTGCCTACAATTACACTTCCTTGTTCCTTTCACTGTTTTTATAACTGGCTTATTTCTTGTGATCTAAAATATGCAGTAATAAAATAAGTTTAGTAAAGGAAAAAATCACACACTGTGCTATTCATAACAGAAAAAAATTTTACCTCAATAAAATTTCCGCTATATAATTCTTCTAAAGTAACAAGCAGGTCCATTACAACATTTGAACCTTTAGGAGTTTGATGTTGTTGATGTGATTCACCACCAAAATGGAAATTGATGTCACCAAAGAAACTTGCAAACGGATCCATATTACTGTTCATCATGCCGTCCTTCTTCAAACATTCCTCTCCACATTTGTCATATATTTCTCTTTTCTCAGGATCTGACAGCACTTCATACGCTGCTCCCAAATCTTGAAACTTTTGAGAGGCATCTGGATCATCTTTATTCTTATCAGGATGCAGTTCTTTTGCTAATCGTCTGTAAGCCTTCTTAATTGCATGTGTACTAGCACTATGTGATAATCCTAATATATTATAAAAATCTCTTCTGCAAAAAGAAAGTTACAAAAGTTAACAGTTACAATAAACTTCTTTATTTTTGCACATTATCATTACTTAATTGAAAAAAACTATCAAACTAATAGCCTATATTATACAGATATAAGATCTGTATCAATTTTCAAAACTAAAAAATTACGGGGATTAGAAAATTTTTCATCTATTTATATTTTTTGTTGAGTTTCAAGATTATTAAACAAATCTCTGTGATATACACG